CAGTTATGATTACTATCTGTGTCCTTCCCTCCATCCTATTCCCCCCCCCCATTTATGCTTTTCTCTCTCTTTTTTCCCTTTCCCCCTCACTAGAGTTTTGCTTTTGACCACTGCCTCCCTCAGTCTTCCCTCCCTTCTATTAGCCCCCTCCCAGGTGGATTCTTTCACTTTTTATTTTACCCTCTGGTTCTAGAACATTAGGGCAGTTTTCCTTGATAATTTCTTGAAAGATGATGTCTAGGCTCTTTTTTTGTGAGGCAATTGGGGTTAAGTGACTTGCCCATAGGCTTTTTTTTTTTTTTGATCATGACTTTCAAGTAGTCTGTAATTCTTAAATTGTCTCTACTGGCTCTATTTTCCAGGTCAATTGTTTTTTCCAATGAGATTTTTCACATTGGCTTCTATTTTTTCATTCTTTTGGATTTGTTTGATTGTTTCTTGAGGTTTTATAAAGTCAGCTTCCATTTGCCCAATTCTAACTTTTAAGGAATTATTTTCTTCAGTGAGCTTTTGTACCTCCTTTTCCATTTGACCAATTCTACTTTTTAAGGAGTTTTTTTCTTCAGTGAATTTTTGTATATCTTTTCCCATTTGGCCTATTCTGCTTTTTGAGACATTCTTCTCTTCATTGGATTTTAATGCCTCCATTCAGCCTATTCTGTTTTTTAAAGCATTATTTTCTTCAGTTTTTTTTTTGTGCCTGCTTTACTAAGCTGTAGACTCTTTTTTTCACGATTTTCTTGTATCACTCTCATTTCTCTTCCTAATTTTTCCTCCATCTCTCTTACTTGATTTTTAAAATCCTTTTTGAGCTTTTTCATTGCCTGAGACCAATTCATATTTTTCTTTGAGGCTTTGGATACAGGATTTTTGACTTTGTTGTCTTCTCAGTGCGTGTTTTGATTTTCCTTGGCACCATAGTAACTTTCTGTGGTCAGAATATTTTTCTGTTGTTTGCTCATTTTCCAGCCTATTTCTTGACTTTTAACTCTATGCTAAACTCTGCTTCCCAAGTGGAGGGGGCACTGTCCCAAACTTCAGGTTTTTTTGTGTAGCTGATTTCAGAAGTAATTATGGGGACCCATAAGTTTTTGACTCTTCCAAGGTGGTATGATCTAGGGAGAGGTGTATTTAGTACTCTTATGTACTGTGCACTGGTTTGTGAGTGATCGCAATCATTCTTTTTCAAACCTGGAACTATGACCAGGGTACCAGCTCCCATGTGGCTGCAAGCTGTGCTGTGCCAGTGATCCTCCTCGAACTGGGACTAAGGCCCAGGACTTCGACCCAGATCCAGGTATAGGCAATGCAGCAGAGTCTTGACCCTGGTGCCAGCAAAGGGACCTCTGTAAATTTCCTTCTGACCCATCGTCCAATACACTTATTGTCTATGGGCTGAGAGTTCTGGAAACCAGCACTGCTGCCATTAACTCACTTACCCCAAGGCCTGCTCCTGGTTTGCTGGGGCCTGGTCTACACTGGCACTGGTGCCGGTGTGGCCCGAGTTGGACTGCGCTCCACTCTCACCCTGGTGCAACAGACCTTTCTTGCTGATCTTCTAAGTTGTCATGAGCTGGAAAATTGTTTCATACCATCTTTTTGTGTGTTCTAATGCTCTAGAAATTGTTTAGAGTCATTATTTAAAGGTATTTGGAGGGGTTTGGAGGAGAGCTCAAGTGAGTCCTTGCCTTTTCTCCACCATCTTGGCTCTGCCTCTCCTTCGAATTGGTTTTTGATAAGCTCTTTTATTTCTAGGTTATATATCCATTTGGAGCTTATTGTGGTGTATGGTGTGAGGTGTTGTTTATACAATCATTTGAATAAGAGTACATTTTTTGTGTCTTAAAATGTGCTCAGAACATTTTCCGATCATGGAAACAAATAGTGCTTAATTTATTTAGTCAATATTTGAACCAAATTGTTGGTAAAGAAGACCCAGTGCATATGAATGTATATCTCTATATATGAGTATGATTATAGATATCTAAGTATATGTATGTGTAAATAAGTATATGTATGTATGTAATGGTATATGTATGAATATGTATATATGTATATTCTTGTATGTATTGTGTCTATGTATGTATGTGTACATGTGTGTATATATATGTGTGTGTATCTATATCTATATCTATATATCTCTTTGCTTAATTGTAGCCTTGGGTTCGGAGGAAGGGAGAAAAAGAATAAAGTAAAAAGTGCAGAGCAGAGAACAACAGAAAATTTACAAGGAAGAAAAGAAAAGTTGGACAGCTTTCAACACAATGCATAGTATTTATTATATAGGCTTTCTTAAAATGGAAATTTATTGCTGTATATTTTGAATCCTCTCTCATGTTCTGCTATACACATGGCAATGCTTTTTTCTTTCCTTATTTTGTATTATTTTAGTGTTAGTATTGAAGTTTGCTTCTTTTTTCTTTTCTCATTTTCTATTTAAGTTTAAAATTTTTAAAAATTACCAGAAGAGAAGAAGAAGAAGAAGAAGAAGAAGAAGAAGAAGAAGAAGAAGAAGAAGACGACCCAGGACACTGCCTTAAGGAACATTGTGAAATAGAATCCTTGAAGGTGATTGGTGAGCCACTGTAAGTGACATTTGAAGTATTATGGAGAATAGGGGAGGTGTCACAAGTGTTGAAAAGGGCACATATTGTCCTGCTTCCCAAAAGATGGAAGAGAATGAAACTCCCAAACTATAGAATGTTAACTTGACTTCAATCTCTGGTAAAATTATGGAACATACTATAAATGGGATGGTTAGTGAACATCAATCAGTCAACAAGCTTTTATTAGGTACCCGCTGTGTGCCAGGCACCATGCTGGGAACTGGGGAAGCAAACAAAAATGAGACAGTACCTGACCTTATGGAGCTTACATTCTATGGATGAGATGACATGCATATAAATCAATGCATATAAGATATATGGTATAAATACATGGTGATTTTGGGGGAAAGGGGAGAGGCATTGGGGGGATCAGGAAAGGTAGGTAATGCATGAGTTGAATTTTGAAGGAAATGAAGAGGAAACATCCAAGGAACACGAGGGCCAGTCAGTGAATGCAAAGGTAGAGAAGAGCGAAATAAAAAACCACATGTGAGGAACAGAAAAGTCATTTTGGCTAGACCAGAGAGTTGGGGAAGATACAGTAATGTATAAGGTCAGGAAGGTAGATTGGCAGCTAATGTATGAAGAGCTTTCAAACAAATAAACACAGCTTAATCAAGAGCAGGTCATGGCAACCAAGACCAACCTTGCCATGTTGTAGTTGGTCTGTTTTGGAGGTGAGCCTTGAACTCTGGTCTCCCTGACTCTAAGGTCTGCTCTGTACCCAATATGCTATATTGCTTCTCAATTTCTATTGTATTAACTTGTAGAAACGAAATAAAATGATTTTTGAAGTTGTATAAACTCATACAGATGAAGTTGTTATAAAATCTCTCCAGAATCAATTGAAAGTAGCATTATTTTAGGAAACATATATGAATAATTTAGCAAAAAGGCAGAGGTATGAACAAACGGTTGGATCTCAGCGTCTGCTAACTAGGGGCTATGAGATTCCCACCAAATCACTTAACGTCTCAGAGCTCCAGGGATTCTCCAAAACTCCAAATTGCAGGGCAGGTGCTGATCTGCATCAGAAGAAATTTCCTTATTGGGAGTTTATCACATCTGTAAAATCACAGGTACGGTTGGAAAAATTTATTTCTCCAAAAAATGTGTCCTGCTAATGATCAAGGGGCTTTACTGGGAGGGAGCCAAGTGATACGACTGGTTCTTCTTATTTTGATTTGATGGGGTAGGGAGACAGGGGGTCTAGGGAGTTTTGCTAGCTCTACAGTTGTCCTTGATAAATCCAAACTACCATTCCTTCTTTCTTCAATCACTCCCTTCTCCAAGGACTTCCAGGAGCTCATTCCCAGGCCATCATAGGGCATTCTCTCCCTTCCCCACCGCAGGCAGCAGGGTACAGTGGAAAGAGCCCTGGTTCTGGAATCGGAAGATCTGTGATCGAATTTTGGGGGCTCTTTTTTTGGGGGGGAAGCAATCGGGGTTAAGTTACTTGTCCAGGGTCACACAGCTTGTGTCTGAGGTCGGATTTGAACTCAGGTTCTCCTGACTCCAGGTTCGGGGCTCTATTCACTGTGCCACCTAGCTGCCCCTTGGCTGTGCTTCTTACTATGGGATTTGGTCAGGTCCCTTTCTCTCTGTGGACCTCAGTTTCCTTCTTTGTAAAATGAAGGCGTCGGACTTTCTGGGGTCCCTAGCAGATCTAGATTTCTGCTCTAAGAAGACTGCAAGAAATACCCTGGCTCCCTCCGAAATATTGTTCATGCTTTCCTCGGTTTAAGGAGTGAAAGTCATGCATTTATTCTTCACACTAGGGCTAGGGCTCTGGGGATTCACATGCTGAGCATCAGCAGCTGCATTAATGTATACAAATATCATACAGTGCCAAGATTTTATGCCACTTTGCAAAAGGAAATGAGGAGCGCGGGCAAAACTTTGCCTGCAGCAGGGGCAGGGATATTTGAGATTTCCAGTGGGAAGAGGTTATTGGCCCAGAGTCTGTCTGGGGGGGCGGGATTTGTCCTCTGCCTCCACCGATTACTGAAGACCAATCCGGCGGCTGCGCCAAGGCGGGGCGCGGAGAGGGCGGGGCGAGGACGGGAGAGAGAAGTTATTGGACGAGACTGGTTACTAGAAGGAGCTGGCGGGCGGTTGGCTGAGAGACTGGGGTGGATGAGGAGAGTGGGAAAGAGGCGCGCGCTTGCGCGGTGAGGGTGGAAGGTGAGCGCCAGGGGGCAGGGGGGCGTGGCCTTCAGGCGTTAGCTGTGCTACTCCCGCCGCTGCTCTGCTCGCCGGGGCTGCTGCTGCCGCTGCCACCGCCGCCGCCGCCGTCGCCGCCGCCGTCGTCGCCACCGCCGCCGCCGCCGCCACCGCCACCACCGCCACCGCCGCCGCCGCCGCCACCGCCGCCGCCGCCGCCTCCGCCGCCGCCGCTGCTACCTCCGCTGCCGCCGCCGCCGCCGCTGCCGCCGCCGTCACCGCTGCCACTGCCGCTGCCACCGACGCGGTGGCGTTTGGGGGCGCGAGACTGCGGGAGCCCCAAGGGCGCCTGCCCTTGGCCTTGGCGGAGCCGGGAACCAGCGGTAACGCCCCACTCCCTGCCAGTCCCCGGTCCCCGAGCCTCGGACCACTGGGGGTGGGACGGCTCTCCTGAGGAGCGGGCTGGCGGTGGGGCCGGGGGGAAGGCTTAGTCTCCCGGGCTCCCTGACGGCCCCTAGGGGGCGAGCCCCGAGGCTGCCGCGGCCCAACTGCGGGCTCGGAGCCGAGAGCCAGCCTCCGAGCAGGTGCTGCTCTCAAGGCCTGGCTCCAGGGGTGCCCTCCCTGGCAAGGGATATTCATTTGCACTTGTCCTGGAGTCCCCGTGGCCACCTTAGACTGGCTTAAGCGTCACTGTCTTCCAAGACTTCGTGGCTCCCAGAAGTTGCACATGAGAGATTCCCATTCCTCTGGCACGTGTGTGCCCTCACTCGGTCCCTGTTTGTCTTGCAGTGAGTTAAAGTTTGAGAGGCATCAGGCTGAGCTGACCCTCTGCAGAATTGTTTTCCTTGGTCGTTGAGGCTCTCACGTAAGCTTTCAGTTTCTTTCCCTCCTTTTCCCCCTAGATTTGACCTTATTTCTACCTTTGATTATGAGAAATCTTGTACCCGAGCTGAAAACAAACAAAAACTTGCTGTATTGTTCTGTGCCTTTCCTCTCCAATTTTAAGCTTGAGAGAATCGTAGGATCCTAGAGCTAGAGCCTAGAAAGGACCTTGGAGGCTGTCTAATCTGACCCTCTCACTTTACGGAGGAAGAAACTGAGGCCCAGTAAGGTCATCCAAGGTCCCATGGCTAAGTTTAGCTACCTTTCCACTTCACTGTATGGTCTCACTTGAAGGGGGGGGGGGCGGGGCAGAATCCACAGAGAGGAGGCTGAACCAAACCTTTATTCAAGGTTTGTAATGAAATACTTATGCTTTTTTCTATCTTTCCCCCTCCTCTTGTATTTTCTCTCTTGCTAGTTAATATAGCTATAGATATCTGTATGTCTTTAAACCTATTACAGGGACCTCTGCTTGGCACCTTGTGACTCCAGCATGGAGCTGCTTTTGTTTTGTTGCATTATTTTGTCTTTGTGGGTTTTCTTTCCCAGCTAGGTAGCAAGTCTTAAATGTAATGAACATTTTGGTCTCATTTTTGGATTCTTTCTCAAATGAGAGCTGTATCCCCTACTGATCTCTAGCTTGAAGCCCATGCTATTAAAAGGGCTTGTTTTTATTTCTTTTTTTGTTTTCCAGTGTGATTCCTATGAAGCATCTTTGATATGGGCTCTTCAGGTTGAGAGAAGATTCCTTTGGGAACATATGTTGGCAGAAAATTAATGCTGATATTTAAAAAGTGATAGAGAGTTCTGAGCATTCATTTCCTTCTTCACCAGTGGAATCCTGTTGTTCTTCAGGTGTGGGTAACCTTCCTAAAAGTTTTGTGTTTTTTTTTTTAATTTAAGGCTCTTATTTGGGATAGGGCATGTGACTAAAGGAAAAGGGGACATGTAGTTCATCCCAGAGATTCCTGTAATTAAAGGCAATGTGAGTAGAGCTTATTTGTGAGGTTTTCTACCTAAGCTTTTAGGAAATTGAACCAGGGGAGGCATTATACCAGGTGTCCCAAAAGTCTTTGTGAAGTTTGAGGTTCTCCATAGCTTGGAACTCCACTAAGACAGTGGGGACCCCTTGTATTCTAGTCACACAGAAACAAAGCATGTGTATACCTAGGAGAGATTCAAAAATTGCTTCTTGTGTGTACCGTCCTGGAGCTTTGAGGTTTTGCTGGAGTGGGTATGATTTCATATCACCAATGTGACCTTATCTACCATAGAGAATAATGGTGTTGAAAATGTCCGTTTGTATAATAACACCAAAAATCCTTTTTGGTCTTTCCCTTATTTCCCCCAACCCCTTTTGTGCTAGCAGCCTGGGTCCTGACTCATGCAACAATTTGCTAACTTCTTAATGGTCATCTTGCAATAGCAAAAGATTGCTTCTATAGTCTAGCCCACGGGTGGGGGAAACCTGTGGCCCTGAGGCCACATGTGGCCCTCTAGGTCCTTGGGTGAGGCCTTTTGACTGAGTCCAAGTTTCACAGAACAAATCCTTTTATTAAGGGGATTTGTTCTGTGAAGTTTGGATTCAGTCAAAGGGCCACACCCGAAGACCTAGAAGGCCACATGTGGCCTCAAGTTCCCCACCCCTGGGACTCTAGCCCCCTCTTTTCCTGTATAGGAGGACCAAAAAAAACCTAACCCAAAACAAAAACCCTCAAAGCTCCCTTGAGGACATGCTGTAATTATCCCTTACCTTACTGGGAAGGGAATGTTGGGAGGTGAAGAGGAAGGATCGAATTAAGCCAGATTGCCAATCAGTTCTCTTTCTCTTCCTTTCCTGTGTGTTGGTATAGGGTCTCACTTGGTCCCACTGGTGTTAGCTTGGAAACAACCCAGTGCAGTGCTCTCAAACTGAGTCTAAAGCAGTTAGTTTATTGATGAGTATTGAATGCCTACTACTCACTCAGCCTTATGTTAGCTGTTATAGCACATGGTCCCCACACTTAAGGACATTCTGACCTAGTTGGGGAGGCAAGAAGACGGACAGAATCAGGTACCCACATTATGTTGTAGAGACCCTTAAGAACTATATAATACTATGTATACACTACATGCTATAACATTTCTGTTGTAAAATTTTATTTTTCTATTGATGTCTTTTGACATTAGATTTCTTCCTTTGAAAATTCCTGTTCAACTCTTTGACCAGCAGTACACAAGGGTACTTGTTTTTCCGTCATCTTAATTTTGGAATACATCTCCCTACCCAGTGAGCCATCCCTTATTAACAAAGATTAGAAAGGAAAGAGGAAAGAAAAGTGTCCAGCAAAGCCAACCACCAGACAGAATCTACCACCACAGATGATATTCCATAACTGTTGTCCCCCATCTCTGCAAAGAGACACATCATCTCTTCTCAGGTGCCAAACTTGGTGACTATAGTCACCTTCATGCAGCCTTCAGTTTTGTTTCTTTGTTAGGTTGCTGTTTTAGTTGTTGTGTATGTTTCATGCTGCCCAGCATCATATGAATCTTCCCAGTGCTTTTCTGAATTCTTCACATCATAGTTTCTGTTGGCACAGTGATATTCCATTGCACTCATGGACCATAATTGGCTTAACTATTTCCCAGTTGATGGGCATCTACCTTCTCTCTAGTTCTTTGCTATCACAGAAAGTACTGCAGTAATGACTTGGATATGTGTGAGATCTTTCTGTCTGGGGCATCTCTGGATTCAAGGGTATGGACATTTTAGCCACTTTTTAAAGAATAATTCCAAATCGCTTTCCAGAATGGTTGGACCAATTCATAACTCCACCAGCAATGTCTTTTCCCAGCCTGGCATTGTAGTGGGTCAGGACTGAGAGAGAACAGGGAGGATTTTAGAGGAGGCCAGGGCACCTGAAGGATGTATAGGGTTTGGATAGACAGAAAGGAGGACATTCTTGGCATCAAGGCAAGGGTCCCACATTGAAGGTGGGGATGGGAAATAGTGTCTTTGTAGGCCATTGAAACTATATTAGAGGGTAAGTCTTGGGGAATAATGGAAAATTAGGGCAGGTGGTTTGGGGACAGATTATTGAGGGTCTTAAAGATGAGTTTAGATTTATAATGGTAGGAAATAAGGGGCGACTGGAGAGTTGTTTAGTTTTTTTTTTAAGCTAGATCTCAGTATGATGAAAGCAGTCAAATAACATGGATTTAATAGCCCCCCTTTCTCTTCCCCTTGTTCCCTGAGAACCTTGCCCAAGTGCCAGTTTCTCCTAGAATAATGAACAAGTATGTATTAAGCACCTACTATGTACCAGACATTGTATACCCTGGGGATCCAAAGAAAAAGCGAAAATACTCCTTGATGTGTGCATTTCGAGGCATTTGTGATGCATACAGGCAGCTAGGTGGCACTGCCAACCATCAGACAGACTCTGCCAACCTAGGTGATATTCTCTTAACTGTTGTCCCCCACCTCTGCAAAGAGTTACATCATCTCTGGTGCCGAATTTGATGGTTGTAGTTCTATGGCCTTCAGTTCTGTTGCTCGTTTTGTCATTGTATATATTGTTTTCCTGGCAATGGATAGAGCGCTGGGCCTGGAGTCAGGAAGACCTGAGTTCACATGCTGTCTCAGACACTTATTAGCTGTGTGACCCTGGGGAAGTCATTTTACCCTGTTTGCCTCAGTTTCCTTGTCTGTAAAATGAGCTGGGGAAGGAAATGGCAAATGACTCCTATATCTTTGCCAAGATAAACCCCAAATGGGGTCATGTAGAGCCAGACCCAGCTGAAAAATGAATGAACAGTAACAAGTGATATATACAGAGTAGATTCAAGGCTACCTTAGAAAGAATGCTGGGGTAGGGGAAAGGGGCAGGGAGGGGAGGCAGGAGGGAACCAGGGAAAGTCTTCCTGTAGAAGTTGCCACTTAAGCTGAGTCTTGAGGGAAGCCAGTGATTCTAAGAGGTGGAGGTGAAAAGGGAGTACAAAGCCATAAGATATCGGATGGAGTGTCATGTATGAGGACTGCTAAGAAGCCTTGTATACCTAGATCAGGGGTGGGGACCTTTGGCCTCAAGGCCACATGTGGCCTTCTAGGTCCTTGGGGGAGGCCTTTTGACTGAGTCCATGTTTTACAGAACAGATCTTTTTTATTAAGGGGATTTGTTCTGTGAAGTTTGGATTTAGTCAAAGGGCTGCACTGGAGGCCTATTTAATAAGACTAGAAAGACAGGAAGTGGCCAGATTGGGCAGATAATAGAATGCCAGACATAGTTTCTGTTTGGTCCTAGAGGTCATAGAGAGCCATTTGAATAGAGAGGTGGCTAGACCTGTGTCTATATGGGCAGATCTGTGCTTTAAGAAAACCACTTTAGTGGCAGAATGGAGGACGAATTAGAAAGGGGTGAGACTTGAGACAAGGAGACCTATTAAGGGGCTAGACTAAGTAGTTTAGGTGAAAAGCAGTGAGGGTCTGAACTAGGATGTTGACTATGTGAGTGGAGTGAAATGGATGGATATGAGAGATGCTAATGTAGAATTGACAAGACTGATCATGGGGACGTGAGGGACAGTGATGAGTTGACTGTGAGGTTGTAAACCTAGGAGACTGGGAGGATGGTGGTACCCTGAACAGCAATAGGGAATTTGGGAGGAGGGGAGGATTTGGGGGAGAAATAGAATGAATTCTGTTATGGATATGTGGAGTTTGAGATGCCCATGGGGCATCAAATTTAAAATATCCAAAAGGCCATTGGTGATGTGGGAATGGAGTTCAAGAGAGAGATTAGGGCAAGGGATACCATGCCTATATATCTCTATCTCTATCATCTCTATCTCTATCTCTATCTCTATCTCTATCTCTATCTCTATCTCTATCTCTATCTCTGTCTCTGTCTCTATAGATGGATATCTCTATATAGAAATATAGATATATGTAGATATCTATATATATATATATGTAGATATCTATATATATATAGACATCTAGATATATCTATATAGCGACATCTAGCTCTATAGATCTATAGATAGGTATATCAGATATATATATATAGAGAGAGAGTGATTGAGTCATCGATCAATGTGGGACTCATTTGCCTAGAGATAATTGATGATAGAGGTGATAACCTGTTAAATTCACATTGATGGTGTGAGATTCATTTTCTGAATGAGACTGCTGTTTGTGGACTGAATACAAAATTACAGTTCTCTGGACTTTTAGGGTTACAAGGGATCTTCCACTCCAAAACACTGGGAGGTTGGTAAGGCAAGAATCATTCTCCTTATTTTAACACTGGAGAATATTGAGTTGTGGAGAGGCAAAAGACTTGTCCACAGTCTCCCAGGTAATAAATAGCAAAGCTAGGATTCAAACTGTGATTGTAAGGGTAATAATAATAGCTAACATTTGCATAGTACTTACAATGTGCCAAGCACTTTACAAATATTACCTCATTTGATTCTCACAACAACTCTAGGAGGTAGGTGCTAGTATGATCCCCATTTTACAGATGAGGAAACTAAGGCAGGCAGTTAAGTGACTTGCCCAGGGTCTTATAGCTAGTAAGCATCTGAGGCTAGATTTGAACTGAGGTCTTCCTGACTGCAGGCCCTGTTACTCTGTGTTACAGCTGTGCTACGGATGTAGAGCCAGGAAGGACCTCAGAGGCCATCTAATCCAAGTCCCACATTTTACAAAGGAGGAAACTGAGGCCAAGGGAGAGGAAGGATCTGACTTGTTAGTCAGGTGGCAGAGGTGAGATAAGACCCAGCTCTTCTCAGTGCTGTTTTTACTCTCCAGTAGTCAGGACTCCCGAGTTCAATATTTTTCCTCTGACCATAAGTCAGAATTGGTACTTCTAACATTCATTTCTAGTGGCAGATTCGGTAAATATTAGAGAAATAGACTGCACGGTCGGTCCTCTTTCATCATTTTGCTGTTTACTCATAGTCTAGGTCAGGGAACTCTTAACCTAGGGTCCATGACTTTGTTTTTTAAAAATATTTAGATAGCTCTGTTTCAATGTAACTGAGTGATGGGGTTTTGTTTTTGTTTTTGTTTTTTTTTTGTTTTTTGCCATCCTCTGTATTTTATCTTAGGAATTTAAAACATGATTACAAGCAGGGGTCCCTGGGCTTTCTCGGGCTGTAAGAGGGCCCCAAGACACAGAAAGGTGAGGAATCCCTGCTGGAGTTTCTAGGACGGTGGCATTGCGTATGAGAAAAACAGTGACTCAAAAACCCTAAAAAAGAAGCAATTTTGAGATTTTTAATTCGAATGCTATGCATGGCTGTCTTTTTTATAGTATCTTTTTATTAATCTAGCCCTTCAGTTCCCCCTCACCTCCAGTTAAGCCAATTAAAAAAGAAAACCCAATCCCTCAATGCATATTTACAGAGGCCGGCAAAACAAATTCCCACATTAGTCAGGGTTGAAAATGTAGATCCCTTTCTGCATTTTAAATTCATCACCTCTGTGTCAGGAAGTGAATAGCTTGTTTCACCTCTTGTCTTTTAGACTCATTTTTTAGCATCGCATTGATCAGAGTTTGAAAGTCTTTCAAATGTATTTTCCTCTGTTTTTCTTTTATGATTGTATAAATCAGTCTTCTACTTCTTGTCACTTCTCTCTGCATCGGATCATGGAGGTATTCCCGCCTTCCTCTTTTGCTCTCCATTTGGTTATTTCTTAGGGCACAATAACATTCCATTCTATCCATATAACCCCAGTTTGTTTAGCCATCTTTGTTTAGCCAACCCCTCCAGGATCCAATTTTTGGCAGTCATGAAAAGCACTGCAATACAGATCCTTCTCCTCCTTCAGTTTCTTTGGGGTCTAGACCTGGTAGTAGTATTGTTAGGTCAAAGGGCACACACAGTTTGGTAACCTGGGCAGGGTTCCAATTTACTTTCCACAATGGCTGGCCCAATTCCCAGCCTCACCAGCAGTCATGAGTATACCTGTTTTCCCACAGCCCTTTCCAAAAAGGAAAATTTGTCATTTTCCTCTTTTGTAATCTTGGCCAGTCTGCTGGATTAGGGATTTAGAGCATTTTTTTTTCATCTGGTTGATAGCTCAGATTTCTTCTCTTTCATTTCCTTTGACCCACAATGCCCAAGTGGACTCATTTTCCCCGACTCCTCTGTTTGTCACCTCCAAATCATCTTTGCCAGGAGTGAATCGCAACCTCAGAGTTGCTTTAGTTTACATTTTAAAAAATTATTAGTGATTTAGAATATTTTTTCATATGATTGTTGATAGCTTAAAATTCATGAGGATTTTATTTATACACATTTGCCCCTTCTAAAATTCCATATATCAGGATATCAAAAATCATAGTAGATGGCATTTATGTAGCATGTCAAGGTGTGCAAAATGCTTTACAAATCTCTCATTTGACCCTCACAGCAACCTTGAGAGATGTAGGTGCTGTTATTAACCTTATTTTTTACAGATGAGAAAATTGAGGCAGACGGGGCAGGCAAAGTGACTTACCCAAAGACACAGAGCTAGTCAGTGCCTGAGGTTGAATTTGAACTCTGGTCTTCCCAACTCCGAGTCCAGCGCTCTATCCACGGCAACACCCCCTAGCTGCCCCCTAAAGCAGAGGGGGCCTTGACCTCCTTCTAGATACCGGTCCTTCCTTGGGTTTTCATGATGTTACTGCCATAGTTCTCTTTCTACCTGTTTCTTCCTAGCCTCCTTCCTCTTTCTCTTTCTCCTTCTTCACCACCACCTCTTGGGACCCTTCGTTTCTTTTCAAGTTCAGCTTAAACCCTGTCATTTACATGGAGCCTTTCTGGAATGTTTTTCTCCCCTTCCCCAACTACTAGTGTTTCTCACCCCCTAAATCATCTTTTTTTTTTTAGTGAGGCAGTCAAGGTTAAGTGACCTGCCCAGGGTCACACAGCTAGTAAGTGTCAAGTGTCTGAGGCCAGATTTGAAATCAGATCCTCCTGACTTCAAGGCCAGAGTTGTTTTCACTGTGCCACCTACCTGTCCCCCAAATCATCTTTTACATACTTACACGTACATGTCAACTGCCTCAGGAGAATGTGAGCAGAGACTGTTTCATTATTGTCTTTGTATTACCAACACCAAGCATGGTACCTGGCACCTACTGGGTGTTTAATAAATGCCAGCTTGATTAACTGCAGTTTCATTATCAATATCTTGCGCCCTCGGAGACCTGAGGTCCTGCTGAAGGTCCTGGACCTTCTCCTTTTCAATTTCTGTGTTCTCTCAGCAATGTGATCAGCTCCCGTAGATTTAAATGTTGTCTCTAGGTAGATAGCTGCCAAATCGTCATATCCAGCCCTAATCTCTCTCCTGAATTCTAGGCCCACATCTCCAACGGCCCATTTTACACTTCCATCAGGATGTCCCCGAAGACATTTCAAAGTCAACATTTCCCAAACTGAACTCATCATCTTCCTGCCCCACTTCCAAACTCCCCTCTGTGGAGGGCCCCATCCTTCCTTTTAGTGTCACTCAGGTTTGCAGGTTAGAGGTCATCCTTGACTCTTTCTTCACTCTCCTCCATGTCTAATCATTTGTCAAGTCTTTCCCACCTCAACTTCTCAAATCTGTTGTCTTCCCTCTAGTCACACTAGAATTATTCTAGTTCAGGCTCTTACACCTCTTGCTTGGACTATTCCCATAGCCTCCTGGTTGACTGACTAGTCTCCCCACAATTCTCTCCCCTCTCCCGTCTGTCCTCCACACAGTTGCCAAATGGATATTCCTAAAGCGCGTGACTGACATTGTCACTTTTCTGTTCAGGAAGCTTCAGTCACTTCCCGTCACTCTTAGGGTATGCCACAAACTCTTCTGGACATATAAAACCCATCACAATCTGGCTGGGATCTATCTTTCTTGGCCCCCAACATTTCTGCTGGCAACCCTTCATAAACACCATGTTCAGCCAAACTGGCTTACTTGCTGTCCCTGAGGCCTTGACCACTCACTCACCTCTGCCATTTGAACCCTGGTTCCCTTCAAGGCTTATCTCAGGTGTCACAGTCTTCAAAAGACCTTTCTCCATTCCCCTAATTCAGGGGTGGGAAACCTGTGGCCTCGAGGCCAAAGATTCCCCACCCCTGCACTAGTTGTTAGTACTCCTTCCCCTCCTTGTCAAAAATCAGTGTATTTTTTTGGTACATATCTTGTATGTACTTATCTGGCATCTAGGTGATGCCGTGGATCAAAACCCTGGGCCTGGAGTCAGGAAGACTCGAGTTCATATCCTACCTGGTACACTTCCTAGCTGTGTGACCCCGGGCAAGTCATTTCCCCCCGTTTGCCTCTGTAACTGTAAAATAGGGGATAATAATAGCACTTACCTTCCAGAGTTGTTGTGAGGATCAAATGAGAAATAATTAAAAAGCGCTTAGCACAGTATCTAGCTTATAGTAAGTGCTATGTAAATATTTATTATTATCCATGAGTTTGCTATATCCCCTTTGTCTAATGTAAGTCCTTCGAGGGTAGGGACTGTCTCATTATTGTCTTTGTAACCCCACTGTCCACTTTAGCACAGTGCCTGGCACATAGTGTGTGTGTGGAATAAAACCTTTTTGATTTGATTGACAAACTGTTACTTTATTAGATGACTAACTAGCTTTCAGATGCTCCACTTTCTCCCTGGGGTCCCTCTAACCCTATTTTTTTTTTCAGAGTCACTGGATTGATTTTGGTGTGAGCTAAATGTTTTAAAATCAAGAAATCTGATGATACTGATCTCTGTTGCTGTTGAAACAGTGTTATGTAGGCTTGCTTGTACAGCACTGAGATATTTGTTACGGTTTGGATGTTAGGATGGGTATATGAATATGTTTATATAGAGACTCATCTATTGTATGCAGATCTTCAAAGGCCTAAGACTTGTTAACAGAACAGCTATTAATCATTTCCTAGGCTCAGAGCTTAGCCTTAGATGGTACTTGAGAAGATAAGGGACTTGCCCAAGGTTAAGTAGACAGCGGCAGAACTGGTATTCAAACCCAGGTTCTCTGACTCTAAATCCAGTATTCTTTCAGTTATATTTCTACTTTGTGTGCATGGGGTGAGAAGGAGGAGTGTGGTACCAGGGGCCTCTAGAGGACACAACAAGGCTTAGAGCACTGGGCCTGGAGTTGGGCCAACCTCAGTTCAAATCCAGCCTCAGAAGCTTGATCCTCAGAAGTGTGATCCTGGGTGAGTCATTTAAAAAAAAAAAAAAAAATCTCTATTTGCCTCAGTTTTCCCCATCTGCAAAATGGGGATAAACTCTTCTTACAGAGTTGTTAAGATCAAATGAGATAAAAATTGTAAAAAGCTCTTAGCACAGTGCCTGGCACATAACAATTCATTAGTCATTGCTGCGTCTCAAAGGTCTTCATAACTGTGATGGACCCTTACAAAAACACAAGGGCCTATTGATCCACTTCTGAGAAAAGGGGCTGCCCTTTGTAGTATTGTGGAAACTAGATCGGTCCAGTTACAAACTGTCATCAGGTTGAACTATACATTGAGAAACCCAGTCAAAATAAAGGCATTTTTACTTTAAAAAACCAAAAACATAACAGCTTAATCAAACTGAGAACTACAGATAGGGCTTTGATTTTTGAGTTTGCTGATACCTCTCCCCTGTTGACTCACAAGCCCAGTTCTTAGCTCGGACATAAATACTGGGACAGGGGAGCTCTGTTTATTAGAGCCCTTTGTGACCACCTTTTCTAATAAGGAAGTCTTACCCATGAGGAGTTACTGTTACT